CCTGCCGGCGTCCGAAGGGCCATCTCGGGTGTCCCGAGCGGCCCGTCGGCGCGTCGAGCGGGCCCTACCCGTTTGTCAGAGGCGCCGCCGCGGGAGGAGCGGGCCGCGGACCCCGTGCGGGAGAGGCGGCGGGAAGAGGGCGGACTGGATCCTGCGGAGGCGGCAGGTACTCACCGACCGGCCCTCGCGGCGGGGCCGAGCCCCTCCTCCCGGTGCGGGGGTCACGAGCGGCCGCACCACGTCAGGAGCTGGGGGCGGGCGAGCGGAGGTGCGCGCGAAGTTGGGCACTGCCCGGCGGACCCGCCGGCGTCCGGTGACGAAACCAACGAGCACCGCGCGGGGGAAGCCACGCCAGGACGTACCAACTGCGGGGGGGGGGGGGAGGCGCCCCCGGGTGCCCCCAGCCTCGGCCCTGCCGAGCTCTCGCCGTGTGCCGGTTCGCTGTGTTACCTCCTAGCCCTTGGCAGGAAACCAGAGTAGCACCGAGCCCGCAAAACACTCCCGTTAACCCTTCAAAGTTCTCTCTGACAATCAAACCTCTTCCGGCCCTTTTGCGTGAACCTAGTTACACGGAAATTATCTGCTCACGTGACCGCTTGAAAACTCAGGGTAAATGTTACAATCTGGTCATTTCAGGGAGGGGGAAATCTGGGAAACTCTTAGGGATGTCAGGTGAAGTGTAACATCAGAACAGCCACTTCGGTGAAAAATTTTTTTTTAATGATAATCTTTTAAGTAGGTTTACTTTTTTGGGGGGTGAAATTTAAAATGTGCATGACCCAGCAATTTCATGTCTAAAACAATACAGAAACTGCTACAAGTGTACACAAAAAGACATGCTTATATTCAAGCCTGCTCCCTTCTAAAAAAATAAATAAAAATAACAGAAATGTCCAATACGACATGGATGATGTGATGTTTCCAAGATAAAATATTACAATGAAACTAATAAGTAGCAACATTTGATAGCTCATAGCATGAGTTACTGAAATGGCGACATGCCAACAAACTACACTGTAAAATATACGTACATTTAAAAGTACATAGAATAACAGTATATCCTGATTATGGAAAACCTATGTATAGAAAATGAACTACATGAATAGATGGACACACAATGTGATTATGTTATGAGGGCAGGAGGCGGGAGGGGTGGGAGCCAGGATGGATGGGGAGAGCGGATAAACAGGACTTCAGATCTGTCATGATGTTACTGGAAAGGGGACCTGGCCCTTAGTGGGTCTGCCTCAAGCTGGCCCATAATGTGTGGGTCCTTGACTTCGTGCAAAAAAAACTTCATAGCCGAAACCGGTTTGGCTCAGTGGATAGAGCGTCGGCCTGCGGACTGAAAGGTCCCAGGTTCGATTCCGGTCAAGGGCAGGTACCTTGGTTGCGGGCACATCCCCAGTTTGGGGTGTGCAGGAAGCAGCTGATCGATGTTTCTCTCTCATCGATGTTTCTAACTCTCTATCTCTCTCCCTTCCTCTCTGTAAAAAATCAATAAAATATATATTTTAAAAAAAAAAACTTCATAACATTAATCCAGGTGATTTTGAGAGTATGTTTATTAAAGCTGAGGACCGTGAAACAAGGGCTTATGACAGAAAATGCAACAGGAGAGCATAGGTGGGGCTGCTTTGGCTCTCTGGAAATACTATAAGAAATGAGCCTAGGTGGAGCTGCTTTAGCTCACTGGGAAGTCAGAGAAAAGGGGCTTTGGAGACAGGTTCAGGGGTTTAGCCTGGGAGGAGCTGCTGCTGCCCATTGCTCCCCTGCTTGCAAGGCTCATGGGGACCCCTGGAGTTTAGGAGATGCACCCTTGTGGGGGAAGAAGAGCGGGGAGGGAAAGACAGGGGCATGCTCCAGGGAGGGGGACTCATTCATTTTGGGATCTTCGTTTTGAGGTTTTTTAAAGACTGGGAGTTGAGGAGCAGTCTTAAGGAAGGATCTCAACAGAATATTCATCAGCTTTTCCAAGTGTACCCTTTCAGGCTCGGGGTCTCCACTGATTGGTTGGCACCAGGGGGGTCATTAGTCACTACAGCTAATCCTGGCGATGCCCACCTGGTTTTGCTGCTTTTCTGGGCCTGGTGTTTAAATACAACTTAGTCCTAGATGTTATCTCTAGGGAGATGACCTGTAGCTGGGGGTAAATTGCTCAGCCAGTTTGTTCAGCTGTCTCAGTTTCCCCATTCCACTTGCCAAGGAATTTTCCTAGGTTCTTACTATCCTGCCTCAATGATTTCTTTTTTAAAAAAGAAGAAACCTAAAAATAAACATAGCAAAGTGTTAACACTTGGGTAGTGGAACTATACATTAGTCTCAGTACTTTTTTGTAACATTTAATCAAGTCACCTACCTCCAAATGATCCTCCCAAATCTAGCTAAACCACTTTTTCATCTACCTCTTGTAACTCCAGTTCATTTCTCTTGCTTGGTTCCTCAGCTCCTGGGACTTTCAATCACCCATTATATAGTGCAATTATCTGCTGCATATATCTATCTATTCTATAAGATTTGTTAGCTTTCTGAAGACATGATCCATTACATGGATTCCATGTAACCCTAGCAAGTAGCAAAGAGCCTGGCCAAAAGCAAACACTCAATACATGCTAATTGAACTGAAGTGTGAAGAAGGGAACCAAAAAAGTTTTCAATGCAGGGCCAGAAAGGTCTTTTTGGGGCATCCTATCTCAGAGAAGATTGGTGATGCAGTTGTTAGCAGCCATCTTGCAACCCTAAGGAGAGCCAGCCAATGGTAGGCAGCCTCTAAGACAGTGATTCTCAACCTTGGCTGCACATTAGAATCACCTGGGAATCTTTTTAAAATCCTGATTTCTGGGCCTCATCCTCCGGAAATTCTGTTTCTTTGTTATGGGGTGGGGCCACAACATTAGTAACAAAGAAACAGAATTTCCAGAGGATGAGGCCAAGAAATCAGGATTTTAAAAAGATTCCTAGGTGATTCTAATGTGCAGCCAAGGTTGAGAACCACTGCTCTAAGATGACCTCCACTTGTAATGGAGTGAAAAGCTGTCTCTGTGAGTCTATCTAAATTCTAGCTTGCATTTTTCCCATGGCCTCAGGCAGATAGCTCCTGCAGTAGATATGCTAACCATTACAGGAATTCTGCTGGAGGCTTGAGTGTTTGGAATAACAGGAATTCACCTTCAATTCCCACTCAGGGCACATGCCCAGGTTGCAGTTCGATCTCCAATGCAGGACATGTGGGAGGCAGCCAATCAATGATTCTCTCTCATCATTGATTTTTCTCTCTCTCTCCCTTCCTCTCTGAAATCAATAAAAATCCTACATAATAAAAGCCTAATATGCTAAGTGTCCAGTCATCCGTTCAACCAATCAAAGCATAATATGCTAATGATATGCTAAAGCCACTCAACCACTCACTATGACGTGCACTGACCACCAGGGGGCAGTGAACTGGTCAACCAGTCGCTATGATGTGCACTGACCACCAGGGGGCAGACGCTCCGACCAGTAGGCTAGCTTGCTGCTGGGGTCTGGCTGATTGGGACTGGGCAAGATGGGCCAGACACGACCTGGAGCCCTCCTACGGTCCCTCCCGGCTAGCCAACCTCCTGTGTCCCTCCCCAGCCCTGATCATGCACCGGTGGGGTCCCTAGGCCTGACCTGCAACCTCTCACAATCCAGGACCCCTGGAGAGCTGGTTTTGGCCCGATCCCGCAGGCATAAAAGGCTAATATGCAAATCGACGGAACAGCAGAACAACTGATCGCTATTACATGCACTGACCATCAGGGGGCAGACGCTCAACACAGGAGCTGGCCCCTGGTGGTCAGTGCACTCCCACAGGGTGAGTGCTGCTCAGCCAGAAGCTGGGCTCATGGCTTGCGAGCGCAGTGGGGGTGGTGGGGGTGGGGGGTGGCAGGAGCCTCTCCCGCCTCCACAGCAGCACTAAGGATGTCTGACTGCCCAGGGAGCAGGCCTAAACCATCAGTCAGACATCCCCCAAGGGCTCCCAGACTGCAAGAGGGTTCAGCCTGGGCAGGGCCCTCCCGCCCAGTACACAAATTTCGTGCACCAAGCCTCTAGTAAAAAAATAAAAAGACCTAGAAACTGAAACTTACTGAGAGGCTTCCTGGAAGTGAGGCACCAAGGCCAGCCAGGCGATTTTAGCTTTTTGAAGAGATAAAAAGGTGATAGGAGAGCCCTAGACGGTTTGGCTCAGTGGATAGAGCATCGGCCTGCAGACCAAAGGGTCCCTGGTTCGATTCCAGTTAGGGGCAAGTACCTTGGTTGCAGGCTCCTTCCTGGACCAAGCCCTGGTTGGGGCTCATGCAGGAGACAACCAACTGATGTGTTTCTCTCACATCAGTATCTCTCTCTGTCTTTCCCTCTCTCTCTTCCATTCTCCCTAAAAATCAATGGAAAAGTATCCTTGGGTGAGGATTAAAAAAAAAAAAAAAAGGTGTTGGAGAATTGGAGCACCTGGGTGTCATGATATGGCTTGTTTCAAGAGGATCACTGGGGCTGCTGTGCTTAGAATACCTGAAGAGCAAAGGAAGGGACTAGAGAACTCCACAGCGGTAACCTTGGCCAGAGATGGTGGCTCCGACACAATTACGAGTTTGACAGGAAAGGAGTTTAAGGGGAGGTCTGGGCTGGGGGCTAACAGTTGGAACTCAAAAGGTATCTAATCACGGAGATGGCGTTTCCTCTATCACTAACTTACTAGTAGTGAACTCGAGTAAACCACTTCTAGGTTCTGAGCCTCAGTTTCCCTACCAGCGAAACGGGGAGAATATTCCCACATCGTGGGGCCTTCATGAGAACGAAATGGTAAGTGTTCAAGGCTGACCGTGTGCAGAGTGAGACCCCTGCGCCAAGACCTGCGCGAGGCGTCCGGAAAGGAGGGAGCCGCCGCAGAATTGTTGACCGACTTCCGCGTCAGCAGCGGAGGATCCGAGAGCCCAAGCAGTTACCAGGCAAAAGAACCGCCAGGGCGGGAAACCCAGCGCGGTTCGCGGCTCCCAACCTCGCGAGATTTGTTAGCCGGGCAAAAGTCACCCGTCCGGCCACATCTCGCGAGGCCGAGGTTCCATCGGTGGATTTGGGTTTGCGGGGAAGATGGAGTATCCCGCGTTGGGCACGGTGCAGGCCACGGACAGCGGAGGGCTCCAGCCATACCTCAGCTCCGAGGAGCCGGAGGGCCGGGAACCGGACGGGCTGCGCTTCGACCGCGAGAGGGCGTGCCGCCTGTGGGAGGCAGTGTCCGGGGCCCAACCAGTGGGGAGGGAGGAAGGTGAGTGAAGGAGGGAGGGTGGGGGTCTCGGGAAGGAACCCCCTCGCCCGCCCGCTCCTTTCGCGAGAGTGGCGGAAGCGCGAGGCTGGAATGCGGACCAGCCCCCGACTCTATGGTCCCACCCCCTGGCTCCCGGCCCGCCCCCTTGCGTGACGCAGCCGGGGACTCCCGAACTCGTGCACCCCACCGGCCCGGGCGCCGGGTATCCAGGCCTGCGCCCCACCGGCCAGGGCGCCGGCCATCCAGGCCTGCACCCCACCGGCCAGGGCGCCGGCCATCCAGGCCAGCTCCTGAAAATCAAGGCTCCTGCGCGCATGTGGTCAAGGGCCTTCTCGCGCTCAGGCCGCGGGTGTTCCTGCCCCGCCTTCCTCACCCGCCGAAGCGCAGCTCTTCCCTGGCTCGGGGACTGCAGTTCCTCTCCACACCCTCTGTGAGACCTACAGAACCATCCCGCCAGACTTCTAGCTTCCTCGCCATTTCTCCCTGATTCTCCATCGCCCCGATCTCCAGGCTCCCCCACCCGTAATGTCTCTAGCCTCCTTTCTCTCATGCCCCAATTTCCAAGGGCTCTAGAAGGCCTTCTTCATACCCCCATGTTCCTGCTGGCCTTGGTGATGGATGGAGCCCTGGCTTAACCCCCCTTTGTAGTTGTCTGGTCTCTACCCTTTTCTGAGATGGGGGCCAGGAATCTGAGAAAGAAGCTTTGCAGCTTGCTCTGCCTGTTACTTAGCGGCGGGTAAGATGGAGATAGAGGAGATGGAAAAAGCTGGCCTGACCTGGTTGTGTGACCCTCTTAACAGTCCTTGGGAAAGCTAGCTGCTTAACTACCCAAAAGAACACCAGCTCTCAGGGCTTCTGTGCTAATCCTGTCAAGTAATCTGCAGGGCAATCAGACTGCTCTAATGGTTTGTGCTCGCTGCACAGACAGATCTTGAAAAGTTTAATATGTTTACCTGTGAACTGATGCCCCCTGGAATGAAATGGAGTTTTTTACCACAGCCAAGGACTATATGTTTCAGTTTGGGGTGGCACACAGACCTATACCCTCGTATATACATACTTCTCCAGTTTAAAAACTAGTCTAGCCTGATTCCTAAATTATTATGTACAAATTTGTGCCCTCCCTCCCCCACAATTTTTCTCTTATTTCACAAACATTCACTGATGCCTGCTCTATTTCAAGACTGTTTGGGTGTCAGAGGTGAGGAAAAAACTGTTCTTGCCCTGAAGGGGCTTGCAGTCTGGTCCAGGAAGCAGACACCACAGCAGTTTTATTATAATGTGGTGGGTATAGTGAAGAGGAATGCCTAAGAGTTGGGTGCACACAAGCAGAGGAAGTGACCTTTGTCCTCAGAGGACATAGAACACAGTGACTGCGTTGAAAAGTGAACTGTCTCTATGTGTGTATGAATGTACAGTGTCACACCAGTTCATTTCCCTAGCCGCCACACTTATACAATATTTATATGAGATCTAGGTAGATACCTATAGCACCAGTTTCTACTCACATTGTTTTTTTCTCTGCACTTTCATTGAGTTATAATTTACATATCATAAAATTCACCCATTGTAACTGTACCAGAAATTGAACTGTGACCACCTGGTTTGTAGGTTGACACTCAACCATTGAGCCACGCCAGCCGGGCCATTTTTAATTTTTTGAGGACCCTCCATATTGTTTTCCGTGGTTTTCCAATCTGCATTCCTACCAACAGTACACGAGGGTTCCCTTTTCTCCACATCTTCGCCAACACTTGTTTGTTGATTTATTAATGATAGCCATTCTGACAAGTGTGAGGCGATATTTCAAAAAGAATGTTCTAGCCCTGCTGGTGTGGCTCAGAGGTTGAGCCACACCTATGAACCAGGAGGTCACAGTTTGATTCCAGTTAAGGCACATTACTGGGTTGCAGGCTCGATCCCCAGTGTGGGGCATGCAGGAGGCAACCGAACGATTCTCATCATTGATGTTTCTATCTCTCTCTACCTCTCCCTCTCTGAAATCAATACAAATATTTTTTTTAAAAAATGTTCTAGCCATGGCTGGTGTGGCTCAGTCAGTTAAACATCCTCCCACGCACTAAAAGGTCACTTGTTCGATTCCTGGTCGGGGTGTTTACGGGAAGCAACCGATCCATGTTTCTCTCTAACATCTATGTTTCTTTCTCTCTCTCTCCCTCTCTCTTCCTCTCTGAAATCAATAAAAAGATATATTTTTTAAAAGAATGTTCTAGTCTTTTAATAATTAAACCCCAATACAGTTTTCTACCCAATTCTGTGTGTCCCATTATACCAATGTAAATTTAAATAATTAGAAAATGCACCTGGCGGGTATAGATCAGTTGAGCATCAACTTACGAACCAGGAGGTTCGATTCCTGGTCAGGTTACATGCCCGGTAGGGGGCATGCAAGAGGCAGTGGGTCAATGATTCTCTCATAACTGATGTTTCTATCTCTCCCGCTCCCTTTCTCTCTGAAATCAATCAATAAATTTAAAAAATGCTATTGATCTTTTAGTGGAGCAATTTTGAAGGTTGCTTTATTTTTTTTTCTAATCTTTATTGTTGAAAGTATTACATAGGTTCTCCTTTTTCCCCGTTAACCTCTTTCAGCCCGATCCTGTCCCTCCTGCCCCCCAGGAAGGTTACTTCATTTTTAACTCCACAGAAAATGTTCCACAAATAATAAAAAGATACAAAATGTATGATTATAATAAATTTTTTAAAAGAACAGTGAGAAAATGATTCCCTTGTCAAGTCTTTCAATCCTTCCAGTTCTTTCAGGGAAGAAGTCTCAGTTGGGTGCTACCTTGTCGTAACACCTCTCTTCCCAGTTGCTGCTCTCTTATTGTTCTTTTTAGAGAGAGCTCCAAGCCACTGTGCCAGTATCTGGCTAAAATTGTTTCATTTTTATTGCTACCCATTAAGTTTGTGATCTAAAGATTTCTTTTTAAAAGAATTTACTTGTATAGCATGGTGACTATAGTTAATAACTGTATATTTGAAAGTTGCTAAGAGAGTGGATCTGAAAAGTTTTCATAAAAAGAAAAAAAATTGTAACTGAGTGGTGATGGATGTTAACTAGGCTACACCTGAAATTAATATAATGTTATATGTCAATTATATCTCAGCTTAAAAAATATTAAACAATTTATTTAGAAAATGAAGTTGGCTTACATAAAATTATAAAGTAAGTAATAGTATACACGGTGCGAGAACATAGCATGAGTCATGAAAGCAGAAGGGAAAGAGTGCCTGAGGTTTGTCACAATATAATAGTATGGCATTCCATTACTCAGTGCCTGCATTTGAGGCAGGTTCAAAGACAATGCTATTGAAGCAGATTTTTAACTCACAGATTTTATTTTCCTCTCTATAGTGGAGCATATGATCCAGAAGAACCAGTGTCTCTTCACCAACACCCAGTGTAAGGTTTGCTGCGCCTTGCTCATTTCAGAATCTCAGAAGCTGGCACACTACCAGGTATGCCATAGTACCTTTAGAACTGCTTTACTTTCCAGACCTAGTTCCAAGCCCCCACTTCTCCCAACTTGCACTGTGAAGTGTAATTCCTTCTTAGCTACCCAGATGTTGCCTCCATGCATGTTGACTGTAACTTGAAGACTAACTTAATTTTTCCCAAGTCCCATTTCTCTCATCTAAGTCAGAATCATTATACTTATATCTTCCCTTGTAGCTTATACAGTAGAAAGTATGAGCTTTGGCTTTAAATAGACCAGAGTTTGAATCACAGCTCTGCTACTCATCTTGGGCAAAAATCCTCAGCATCTTCAGCCTCTGTTTTCTCATCTATAAGATAGAGATGATGCCCTAGCTGGTTTGCCTCAGTGGATAGAGCATCAGCCCACAGACCAAAGGGTCCCAGGTTCGATTCCGGTCAAGGGCATATACCTCGGTTGCAGGCTCAATCCCCATGGGGAAGGCAACCAATCAATGTGTCACTTTCACATCGATGTTCCTGTCTCTTTGTCTCTCCCCCTCCCTTCCACTCTGTCTAAAAATCAATGGACAAAATATCCTCAGGTGAGGATTAAACAAAACAAAAACAAGATAGAGATGATGATAATTTTCTCATAGCTTGTAAAGATTAGATTTGACAGCATGTAAAGTGCCTTGAGCAGAGTGGGAACTCCATAGACTAGGTTTCTTCCCACACCCTCTCCTGCTTAAAAGTTTTATGAGGATGAATCAGGTGAAAATCTAGTAAGTGTTTTTGAGTTCCTTAGATATGAATTGGCATTTGGCTATCTTTTATCTTTTTCCTGGGTTCTTACAGAGCAAAAAACATGCCAACAAAGTGAAGAGATACCTAGCAATCCATGGAATGGAGACATTAAAGGGGGAAATGAAGAAGCTAGACTCAGATCAGGTAATCCAGCTGCCATGTTGATACTGCTTGCTTCCTGATGAAGCCAGCAGACAGGTTGGTGTGGTAAAAAGAGCATGGGCTTTGAGTCTGACTTGGCTTCAAATTCCAGCCCTGTCGTGTGACTTGGGCAAGTCTTATTACTTCTCTGAGCCTTGATTTCTTCCTTTATCAAAAAGAGGATGCTAATAACTATGTTTTAGGATTTTTCCAAACTAAAATGAGGGAAAGAAAAAGACCCCACACAGAGCCTGGCACATAGCAGGAGCTTAGTAAATGGAGCCATTGCTATGTATTACCACCCAGTGGTTTGATGGAGTAGAACAAGAAGCTGCCCATTCACTGCTTAAGGAAACAAAGTGGAAGGAGGCCAGGCTGCTTTCTTGAGATCAGGGAAAAGAGCTGAGCTCAGCACTTGAATGTTTTGAGACAAGTGGTAGGAACACTTTATCAGATGCCTGCTCTGATAGAGATGTAAACACATTTGCTTTTTGGCTTAGAAATAATGTGGGAATTATGCTGAAACAACCCAGAATCCATAGGGGTACTATAATTTTTATTCCATAGGAGGCTGTGCAAACATCATGGGATAAGAAACTAGCACTGGCTCTACAACTTACTGGTTAGATGACTTGAGGTAAATTACTTAACCTTTGTGTACTTTAACCATAAAATGGCGATAGTAATTTTCTACCTCTTAAGGGTATCATAAGGTAATTTCAATTCCTAGTATATACTCAGTGAATATACAAACTGTGCCTCCTATTATAGGTTTGAAGGGCCATGCTCATCCCTTCTCCAATTCACTAGACTGATCCCCTACTTGCCCTTCTTGTAATTTAGAATTCCAAAAGTCAGGATCTAACCAATGCTACCCCAATAAGTTCAATAAAAATTAAAAATGGCTCAGTGGTTTCGCATCAACCTATGAACCTGGAGGTCAAGGTTCGATTCCTGATCAGGGCGCATGCCTGGGTTGCAGGCTGGAACCCCAGTGTGGGACATGCAGGAGGCAGCTGAGCAATGGTTCTCTCTCAAGGTTGATGTTTCTATCTCCTCCCTTCCTTTCTAAAATCAATAAAAATAATACTTTTTTAAATAATAATAATAAATAGCCCTGGCTGATGTGACTTAGTTGGTTGGGTGTCATCTCATGCCCTGAAGGTTTTCTGGTTCAATTCTCAGAGCACATGCCCAGGTTGCAGGCTCCATCCCCAGTAGGGAGCATACAGGAGATACCCAAAAGATGTTCCCTCTCACATTGATATTTCTCTCTCCCTCTCCCTTCCTCTCTCTCTAAAAATCAATAAACATTTTTTCTTTAAAAAAAAAAAAGGAGCCTTACCAATATGGCTCAGTGGTTGAGCATGGACCCATGAACCTGTAGGTTATGGTTCGATTCCTGGTCAGGGCACAAGCCTGGATTGCAGGTTCGATCCCCAGTAGGGGTCATGTAGGAAGCAGCTGATCAGTGGTTCTCTCTCATCATATCTCTCTCTCCTTCTCACTTCTTCTCTCTCAAATCAATAAGAACATATTTAAAAAAAAAAAAAAAGAAAATCAGGATCAACTCTGTGACCCTGAGCAAGTCACTTCACCTCTTTGTATTTCAGTTCCTTCAACTCGGGTGGTCCAGTAGTTCAAACAAGGTCACAGGCTCCTCCCCCTCCCCCAATTAAAGAATTTTCCAGCCCAAAATGTTGATAGTGCCAAGGTTTAAAATGTTGTCTTGCCCTAACCAGTTTTGCTCATTGGATAGAGTGTCAGCCAACGGACCGAAGGGTCCCAGGTTCAATTCTGGTCAAGGATACATACCTTGGTTGCAGGCTCATCCCCAGCCCCATCCCTGGTTGGGCTCATGCAGGAGGCAACCAATCGATGTGTTTCTCTCACATCGATGTTTCTCTGTCTTTCCCTCTCTCACTCTCCCTAAAAAGCGATGGAAAAATATCCTTGGGTAAGATTAAACAAATAATAATAATCCTATATAATAAAAGGCTAATATGCAAATCGACTGAACAGTGGAACGACTGGTTGCTATGATGCATACTGACCACCAGAGGGCAGACACTCAACACAGGAGCTGCCCCCTGGTGGTCAGTGCACTCCCACAGGGGGAGTGCTGCTCAACCAGAAGCCCTGAGCCGGGCTCGAGGCTGGCGAGCAGAGCGGCGGTGGCGGGAGCCTCTCCTGCCTCCACGGCAGCACTAAAGATGTCCAACTGCCAGCTTAGGGGAACAGGCCTAAGCCTGCAGTTGGACATCCCCCGAGGGCTCCCAGACTGCAAGAGGGTGCAGGCCGGGCTGAGGGACCCCACCCCCCAGAGTGCACAAATTTCATGCACCGGGCCTCTAGTAATAAAAATAAAATAAAATGTTGTCTTGCCCTGACCAGTGTTGCTTGATGGTTAGAGCATCAGCCCAAGCACCAGAGGGTCATGGGTTTGATTCCCAGTCAAGGGCAGGTACCTGGGTTGTAGGTTGAGTCCCTGACCCCAATGTTTGGGAGGCAACCAATTAATATGTCTCTTTCACATCGATGTTTCTCTTCTCTCCCCACCTCCTCCCTTCCACTCTCTCTAAAAAGCAATGGGAAAAATCCTCAGGTGAGGATAACAAAAATAAATAAAAAAATTAAATGCTGTATTGCCCTGGCCTGGTAGTTCAGTTGGTTAGAGTGTAGTCCCGATACACCAAGGTTGCGGGTTTGATCTCCAGTCAGGGCGCATACAAGAAGCAATCAATGAATGCATAAATAGGTGGGATAGCAAATTGATATCTCTCTCTCTCTCTTTCTTTTTCTCTTTCTCTCCCTCTCTCTCTCTCAAATCAATAAGTAAAAATTTAAACAAAATGATCTACTTGTTCGATAAACCCTGAGCCTCTGCTGTGTGCCAGACTCCAGCAGGTTGCTAAGGATAGGAAACAAAGTCAAACAGTCCATGCCGTCCATGTTGAAGTTTAGTTCACAGAAAAGTCTCCCAAGCTATTACACTGTCAGTTTAGGGTTACAAGTGGTATGCTAGAGAGGTCTGTTTCATGCACTCTGGGAGTATGGGGGAGGAACAAAATTAATTTTTCCTGGAATAGTCACACAAAGTGGCTTGATAATTGTTTATTGAATAATTTTCTTGAGTAAAAGTCTCCCAGAAGATGTTATATTTAATCTGGGCCTTAAAGGGTAAGTGGACATATGCCAGGCAGAAAAGAAGGAAAGATCATTCTAGGTAGCAAGAATGGCCCACACAAAAAGTAAAGGAACAGAGCATAAAGTGGGGAATGGTGAGTAGAGCCTGGGATGAGTTAGCTGGAGAAGAATCCAGAAAGGTAGGTTGGGGTAGTGTGTGAACGGGGCCTTGAATACCCATTCTCCTGTGGGCAATGGGGAACCATTTAAGATTTTCTGGCCGGGCAGTGACATGTTCAGACCTGTGTTCTTTCTCCCAACCAGAAGAGCAGCAGAAGCAAAGACAAGAACCAGTGCTGCCCCATCTGTAACATGACCTTTTCCTCCCCTGTCGTGGCCCAGTCGCACTACCTGGGGAAGACCCACGCAAAGAACTTAAAGCTGAAGCAGCAATCCACTAAGGTGGAAGGTACTGGTTTTCCTGAGTAGTGCTATATCGGGACCCCCCTAACCCCATCCTTAGGGCACTAATGCCAGGTGCTCCCAGAAATTATCACTGGGGCCACAGACTTGAAGAGGTTGAACTGCTTTTGGGAGCCCTTAAAAATATTAAAGTAGACCCAGCTTCATTGAAATGCAGTCTCAGAGTTGTACTCACCTAACCTCTCTTTATTTGGTTACATCAGAAGCGTCTTAGCCCTGAGCTTTTGTTCTGACTAATAATTCGGGAGTGTCAAAGTCTTTCAGGCCATGCACACCGTGAGAGCATTCTACTTCCAACCTCTCCCACTTAGATTTTTTCCTCCCATCATCCACCTGCACTTATTATCATATGTTCCAAGTTGAAAGCTAAAACCTAGTCTTTTTTGTGTGCTCAGGTTATGCCCTGCTCACTTTAATCTTCAAAGGTGCCTCTTCTCAAGACAGGGACTTGCCTTTCAAAGCTGAATACTTCAGTACTATCACTATTGCCCCATAAGCTGTGTTTGCAACTGCTATGAATTCATTCCCAGTATAGTGACTTCTAAAGTAACCCCCTTTATCTTGTCACCACTGGGGCTCTTGATTTCATCTCATTAACTCCTGACTTTCTGGGATTTTTTAACCTCTGCTAACTGCAGTTAGTCAAGAGTGAAAATTCTTTGATCTTTATTTTATTTTTTCTTGGCAACTTTTGCTTCTCTCTTCATTTTGGACCAAGAAGTAGATTATACTATCTATAATACTTACTATCCTTTTTTATATTATTGTATTATGAAAACAAGACAACAATGTTTTGGAAGGCTTTGAAGATAGAGTAAAAAAATTCACTTATAATTATACCTTCTATCACACCCAAATCTAGTTATTCATGCTATGAAGCTGGGCTTTGAACTCACAGATGCCCAGGTTTAAATCTCAGGGCTGTTATTTACCGTCTATATGACTTCATGCCTGAGTTTCCTCACCTTCACAGGTTGTGAGGATGAAATAATATATATAGAACCTAGGACATAACAGATGCCCAGTAAATGACAGCTGCTATTGTTAGTATTATCACCATCATTAAGATAGCCAGTGAGTGGCATTCCCCACATCTAATGCAGTAGTTGGGCAGGCATCTACCACCTGAGCCTATTACTAACAATAATTGCTTTCGTTAAAGTCAGTGTTGGTACCATTCATGGCACCAAAAAAACTAAATATTAGGCCAAGAGAAACCAGCTTAGGAACAGAACTTTGTAAGGTCACTCACTTATCTTTATATGGACTTATCTCTCCATAAATAGGAAAATTCCCTGGAATATGCCTAGTCCCAAGGATTCCATATTCTGAAAGTTATTTTCCATATCCACTTTTGGCCTTTGCCACATGCATATATGTTTTTTTATATAGTTGTAATTGTCATGCATGTATCCTGCTTTTACTTTTAGTTTAAGCACATTTTCCTGTTATCACATGAGTTTATTAGTATGTTTCTGAAATTAAACATTTTAAATGTAAAAGTGATATAAGCATGTAAAAAATATGGAAAATATTGATAAGTGGAAAGAAAAAATGCCCATAATTTTACCATTCAGAGGTAACCATTGTTAACATTTTATAGTACTGTTTCTCCTATAATCCTTTGCTGTGTGTGTGCGTGTATGTGTGTGTCTGTATCTGTTTTATGTATATCTAGATTGAATCCATGTATATGAACATATAAACATACAATACTTTAAATAATCTTGTTTTTATAAAAATGATGCATACTCATTATGAATAATTCTAGTTCAAACAATGCAAAAAGTACAAAGAAAAAAGTAAACTTTCACCCAAATCCTACCACCAAGAGAAAAACACTGTTAATATGTTGGTTACTTTCAAAATACCAGAACACACATATAAACTGTGTATGTGTCTTTTCACAATAATATAATTATATTGTGCGTGCAGTTTTCTTTTATACTCTTCATTTTAATTTAACATTTGCATTTCCTCATGTTATTAAGAACTTTTTTATAAACATTTTTAATGACTAGAAAGCATCTCATCATACCACATTCAACCATTCCTCTAATGTTTTTCCCTCTCTCCTTCTTGGTATTTATAAATAACTCTATAATAAACATCCATATAGAATACTCTTTCCATATTTCAAGCTGTTTCTTGAGGGAAGACTCCCAGAGGTCTCATTTTTATTGGATGTCCATTAAGTAGTTCCTTTAACTTTACTTAAGCATTTGCCTCTGATGCTTCTCTTCAGTATCTTTTAAAAAATGACCTTTATATCAACCATTATCTCTTTTCTGATGTCAAAAATCTACATTCATTGTAGAAAAGTTGGAAAATACTGAAAAGCCCCTTTACTTTATGCTTTTGGTCTTTTTCCATACATCACCAGTATGTTTTTGTTGCTTTACAGAATTGAGAACATAAGAAACACGTTTCTGTATAACCTTTTCTTTTTAACTCAGTACCACATGCTGAATATTCTCTCATATTATTAAATATTCTGCAACACATAAATTACTTTTCAAGTGACTTGCTGAAACAATGACCAAGGAAAATCAATGGCCAGAGAAATTGAGATTCCCTATACTGGAAAATCACTGTGGGAAAAGCCAGCAAGTTTCTTCTGGCTTGCTAAAAATTCTCAAAACTTCCCGCATTAAAGTGGTACCAAGATGAAAGAGCACCTCAGACATCTGTGAGTGCTGCTGAGCCCCCCACCCCTCCTCCACCATTGGTGGAGGTTCTAGCTCACATTTTTAAAGCAGTGGTTACTAGATCCACACCATTCCAGCCATGTGGCCTCATTAGTGAGTTATGGCATCCACTCTATATGGCAGCAGCATGACCTGCAGTCAGCATTCGGACATCTCTTGATCCACAGGAGGTTTACACATATGCCCATAGCAGGCTCTGATTAACAGAATTCACTAACCAACACCAGGGATTTTTCTGAAGGTGAAAGCATGAACTGTAGCCTTCAGGTCCACTCACCACACTCTGGCAGCCTGGCAGAGCAAAGAGGGCATGGTCTTTGGATCACACAGACTTTGGTTCCACTCACTAGCTGGGTGGTCTTGGGCAAGTCATTTGTCCTGTGAGCCCTGGTTTTTCTCTGTAGTGTAGCAAAATGATATACTCGTATACCTCATGGAGCAGTTCTGAGGACCAAGGGAGAAAATACATGTACAAAGCACATAAATAAATGTCAATGTCATCCTCTTCTCTCCCCACCTTAGCCCAGAAAGCAGTGTTGCCCAAAAAGCCTCCCAGTATAGTTGCCTTTTCTAAATGACCCTGCAAGCCCTCAGACCCTCAGTTTCTACATTTGCCCATTGCCTCCCAGCTCTGTGGTACTGGGGTACTGTGAGGATGGGAATAAAACACCCAAACTTTTTATCCCACTTACTGTGAAGTTCTGGGGAATTCTGAAGGATAAAAAGACTGCAAGCATGTACATCTCTGGTCTGTTGTCATTTACAACTTGATAGTAGAAGTACAGAACCTCCTCAGAACGTGAGGAAATCAGGAATCATGTTCCTAAAGTAGTTAACGCTATTGAACAGATTAGCTCCCCCAAATCTTTGCAGTTTTCTTACTCAGAGAAGGCTTTCACTGTGTGATTCACCCTGGCAGGGCCCCATGTGCAAGTGTGATTAACTAGTTACCAGTCTTCATTTGCATTCAGTA